GCAGGCCCCTGGCTCTCGTGAGGGAGAGGATGGACTGCCTGTTGGCTGTGGACCTGCCAGGTTCAGCCTGAGCAGCCCCTGCAGGTAGAGAGCTTTCTAAGGCTGCTGCCTGGTACAGGGGGTCGCACTCACCTGGGGTGTCACAGATCTCAGTGGCTGGACTGGGGACCCGTTGTCCTGGCCCAGAAGCACTGACCAGTGCTGCTGTCCATGGCCAGCCTTGCTGTAGCATTGGAGGGGTGTTGCTTGGGCTCCTCATATGGCTCTTCCAGGCAGAGCTCCTGAACCTGGGGCAGTGTGATGTTGGTGGCTTGTGCGTGACGCGATCCTGAGATGGTGTGGGCTGAGCTGCTTCCACATGCTCTAAGCCTGCAGCTGGACGCATGGTGTCACATCCTTGCGGGAGCTGGCTGGGCAGGCTCAGCACAGCCACTCGTGGCATGGCTGGACCCAACTCTGCCACAGGAACCGTCCAGCCTTGTTGGCCAGGGAGCATGAGCAGTGCCTCACCGGCAAGTCGTGCTCTATCGATGGCTTCTTCCGACGCCATCCTGAGGACATCGATAGCTGCTGGCCGCGGGGGAGCTGGTGATGCTAGAACGGGTCAGGAGGGAGCGTCTGCACAGATATTCACCATCTGTGGCCTCTGCCTGTTGCTGGTGCTCTCTGCCCAGGATCAGACTGTGTCCTGGCAGCCTTGTAAAGGTGCAGTGCTGCCTCTACCTACAGAGTGGCAAGGTCAAAGTGCAGAGTGCTGTTTTCTTCCTCTTCCCTCTAGTCCCTGGCTCTTGAAGCAAAGAGGCTGTGGTGGTGCAGACCTTGAGGGCGATCATTCAGGTCTGGGCTGATGATTCAGTCCTTTGGCCATTTCCTTCTGGGGTGCTTGTCTGAGCACATGGGTCTGACCCTGTCACAGGTCTGCCCCATGCCCTGCTGTGCCACTTTCGTGTCCCATGTGTCCCCTACCATGGGGACAGAAGCAGTTTGCTGTGATGCTGTTGACAGTTGTAGCAGAGGGAGCTTGCCCCAGGATGCTCCATGTCCTGGAGGATCCTCAAAGCTGCTGTGGTTCCTCCTGTGAGCCTGGATTCAGGGTGAGGAGGTGAGAGGTGGCAAGCTGGCCTTGAGAGAGGCCTGGAGGGAGCAGGGCACAGGGCTGGGGATGGGGCAAAACTGCATCCGACTGCTCATTGCAATGATGAGCCTACTGAATTGTTAAATCATTGTCACTGATCTGAGGTTTGCTTTAAAAGGGGTGATGTTACAAATTAATTAGCTCCCTTTGGTTGTTAGCACTTTAAAGCCCAGCTGTCAGGGGAGGGCTGGTTTATAGGCATTACATCAGGGCTGCCGGCTGGCTGGCTCGCCTACCTGGGAATTTCTAAGTGTGCATTGTAACCCGGGGAAGTTTGGCTTGGATGCAGCATCTGGCTTTCAGCAAAGCTACTGTGATGTGCTCTCCTGAGCACAGGGGCTTGACTGGAGCTGAACGGCGCTGCCGGGGGTTTGTGGGGAGCTGGCGGCACAGCCTCTTGGTGTGCTGCTCCCGGTGTTAGCTGCCAGCTGGGCGACTTGCTCGGCTGACCTGCAGGTGTGCGGGAGATGCTCTGAGGAGTTCCTGCTGCTTGTTTAATCGAGGCGAGAGAGCAGGAGGCTTTTCTGGTGCCTGGAAATTTGAACTGGGTAGAGATGCCCTGGAAGAGCTGCGTGTGCCTGGCAGGCTGTCGGTGCAGGCGAGGGCTCGATGTGCTGAGTGGGAGGGGAGCAGCTTCTCCATCCTCCCGTCCCAGCGCAGGAGGGTGGCAGGGACCTGAGCTCCTGCCTTCGCCTCCCCCCCTGGCCCGGGCTTTTGCGCCCATCGGGCAGCAGGGGCATGGCAGCACGGCGCGGGCTGGCCGGGAACACCCGGGCACACGGTGCTGCTGCACCCCACGGCCCACCGCGCTCACGGAGCTGCCAGGCCTGGTGGGCCGGGAGGGGTGGCGGCAGGCTGGCAGCGGCGGGCAAGGCCGCAGGTAAGGTGCCATCTGGGCCTGGCCCCGCGGAGCCGTGGTGTCCGTCCCAGCGGGGTGGGGTGGCACGACCGGTACCGGGGCCGGGCCCCTTGAGGGCGGCGGGTCGGACGGTGCTCGGTGCTCCCGCCCGCGGCGGAGCGGTGTGTGTGTGGGGGGTGTCTCGGTGCGGCCGGGCCGCCTGCAGGCCTAGGCCCCGTTGCTAGGGGCCCCCTCTCCGTGGAGACCGTTGCTAGGACACCGCCCCCCCGGGGGAGGGGAGGGGGGCCGGCGTTGCCCCGCGTGGCGGCCCGGCCCCGCGCCTCCAAGATGGCTGCGGAGCGTGACACGCCTGGTCACGTGGGCCGCGCG